TGCCTCTCTCCCACTGAAACCTTTGCACAAATAGCCGAAGAAGATGGATGGATGGTTTTCTCTATCTAAAATACTTTGATGGACCATTTGTAATGGGTCTACGTATTCTTCTGAGACTTTCAAAAAACGCAAAATCATTGCAAAACATGATTTGGTAAAACTATGCAAAATTTCAGTAATGTTTTTCTCATCAGCCCAGATAAGACGCTGCTAAGCTGTCAGGGTAAAAAGCAGCTTAACATAAACAGTTAAACAGTGTTAGATCATGTGCTTGTTAAATCTGCTAGTGATAGTTTTAGAAGCACTGACTCTAGATGCACGGCATGCCTTGCGAGGCTCTGAACAGACTTTAGTAACAGTCCTCTCATGATTATATTTATGTTGCTTGGGAAATTTTACATTCCACTAAATGATCCATTAATTCTTTTTACATACAGTACCAAATGGATTGCAAGCCTCTATAGTAATGATAATGTGTCATTTACCGTTCTATAGTGTCAGAGCAGTCATCTCCATGACTTTGTATGTATGACATAACTTTTTACTATGGAATTTTGATTGGTTTACAACAATATTGAAAATTATAAACCTAGTTTCGGATTCTCATTAGCTATAAGGCCCAATCATCAAAACTGGTATAAGGGCTTGGTATATATTACTTTTTGTATAATAGGTCTGTATTTGCTATAAGTGTTTATAGATGTTGGAGATTGGCCTTTTTTCTAGTGTAGTCCTGTTTCTCTAACTGTGACTGGCTGGATGTGCTCTCTTCATCCTCTGACTTGAGGGTTGGCTCGGAGCTCGTCTGCCTGGCTGTGTGTTTCCTGGACGGGGACGCCTTTTACAGTTGCTTTTGGTATCTCTGCTTCTGTCTCCTTGAACTCCAGTCGGGCTCGGAAGATGGCCGCTCACACTGAGCCTGGTTCTGCTGGAGGTTTCTTCCTGTTGTCGCTACATTGTCGCTACAAGCATGCTTAGTGTGAGGGATTGTATTTGAGTCAATGAGTCAATGCAATCAACTGGTTTTCCTTAGATAGAAAACTTTGAAACAATTTGACTGTATGATCGTGTGAACTGTAAAGTGCCTTGAGATGACATGTGTTGTAAATTGGCGCTATATAAAAAAACTGAATTGAATTATTATCTCTCAATTGAATTAACCCAAAAAAACATTTTCATCAACGCATTGCTATAAAACGCTTATTGATATATTTAACCTTTTAAGGGTCAATGGAAAAGGCTAAAAACAGTTACCCTTTTAAACTATTTTTCTAGTCATGATTGTCTTTGTTGCTTTTAAGTATTTCAAATCAGATGTATTGATTAGGAGGGTGCTACTTTGGGAGGGTTTTCGGGTCATAAATATAAAATGTATTTCTAAAAAAAATAAATAAATAAATAAAGAGAGAGAGCCTTAAGAACACTTTGTTCTGGACCACCATAGTCTCCATTTATTGCCTTAAGACCAGTCATTTTAATCGGCTTCTGTTATGCTTTTTGTGCTAAATAGAAACCATAAGTCTACTGGCAACAATATAAACCGAGCGAAAAAAGAAATGCATTTTTTTTTCTTTCGCCCTCTCTCTCTTATCGCTGCTCTCCATCTCTCGCTCCGCTCCCTGAGCGCGTCAGAGTTTGCGCAAGCAGCCTCTCCGCCTCTCGGTGCGTACAGGGCAGCTCTGTCTCCCATTCACACCACTTTACTACCAAACGCACTCTCTGACGGATCGCGTTCAAAAAGAAGGTGCTTCTTCTCTCCTTTTTCGCCGCTTTGGATTATCACTGTGCTTTTTCACCATGCTGGAAGTAGAAGGTAGGAGGCACAGTTTGCGTTTTTGTTGCCATTTAAAGCCAAAACGCAAAATCCGGATGATGCTTTTTTTTAATATAAATGTTCCCGATCACCACTGTAGATGTTTGACCTTGAAGAACAGCTTAGTCGAATGCATATGCATGTTTCTATGTATGACATAAATAAATGACATTAATACTTTAATATCATTTGTAATCGAGGGGAGGGTTTTAGTGTGTGCGTAACGCTGATGCTGAATTTCATCAATGGAGAATGCAAGGGACGCTTCTAAATACTTATTCATCAACTAAACTTATCCCCACAGTTTTTTTTTATATATATATTTTTGTTTGTATTTAGATCTTTAGGTCGGCTGGATCGTTTTACTTCCTATAATCTTGAATAATTCAGAAAGTTCTCTGATCTCAGCAGGAGACAGAGGTTTTGCGCCTGCATCCAGATTCTGAAGAAGCATCCTGTTAGTCTCCATGCTAAGGCGCAGGGATGCAAGAGAAAGACGGCTTAAAGGAAAAAAGCTTACACTGGAAAAAAAAATCAAAATCTGGATAAGTCATTTTTTCTTAAAATAAGTGCATTTATTCTTGGATTGAGGATGTAAAAGATATATTTTGCCAATGGAAGAAGACAATTGACATTTAAAATAAGAAAACACAATTGCATTGTCTTATTTCAAGTGCATGTTATCTAATTATCTTATTTTAAGAGTAAAAATACTCATTCCATTAGCAAAATATCTAATTTACCTACGCAAATTAAGGGTAAATACACTTGATTTAAGACATTTTTATTTATTTCTAGATCTTTTTTCCAGTGTATGAACTGCCACTGTTGCAACAAGGGTATTGACCGAAAATATATGCTGTCTACATTCAGCAGTCTTTAGGCTGTAAACTAATAGGAAAAAGGGAAATATAGAAATGGAAGGAAAATAAAGTTGGAGGAAAAGCTTTAAAGCGGCAGAAATTTGTAAATCCACCTAGTTTTTTTTTTTTTTATTCATTAATATTTCTATTTACCCATTTTTAAGAAAGAAACACATTTCCTTCCATAACTAAAGTAGTTTCTGCCAAAAAAAAAAAAACTTGTATCTAAATTGCAGCAAAAACCAGTTTTGGTTAAAATAATGGTGTGAAGAGACTATCAGCGAAGGTGATAAGATATTTGGTTCCTATATCTTTGTTTTCAAAAATAGAGAAATGATTTGGAAAACTCCTAAACTAATTAGTGTATAATATATGAGTCCAAGTTGGACCAGGCAATACAATCAGATGTGCTTTTGCATTTATGGTGCCTTGAGAGATCATCGCTTCTTCTCCAATGTTTCTCTCACATGAAGCTGTTCAGCATTTAACAAAAAGTTATTAGAATGCTGTTTTTAAGTAATCTCTCATAAAGTTTTTTTTTTTTTTTTTTACTGAAACTGTGTTTCAAAGAAAGGCCATGTATGAAAATTAAAAGGAAAAGTCCAATGAGGATAAGATAAAGATTTTTTATTTTTAATGCCAATTAACAATACTGACCTCGGTTTTAAAGTTTCTTTGTTCCCAAGAATATTGTAAGTCACTGTAAGTGTTTTGAACAGATGATAATTAAATACGGTCAAAAGTCCTGAAAAACAAACAAAGAAAAGGATAACATTAAACGGCATCAGGCCGACCTGAAAGAAAATCCACCCCCGCTATGCATGTTTTGGATGAAAGACGATGCTTAGTTCTTTAGTTTGGTGCTGAAGCATCCATTATGAATCAACTAGCAACATTACTTGGAATGTGATTTAAAGCTTAACTGAAAGATCATTTTTCCTCTTCCAGTGCTCCTGTTGCCTACTGAAACAAGTTTGCCCTTGAGATAGAGCCAGGTTATAAAAATCAATACCATCATTGTAGTTACACTTTTTCTCGGGGTTACAGTTTTTCTCTTGTGGAAAAAAAACTGTCCTTTTCTGGTTCTTTGTTTTTTTTTTAATTTTATCAAATTGCAGTTTTTCTTTAAAGAATTGTATTTATGTTTGATTAGTCTGAGTATTTCAGCTTGTCTGTTTTTGTCAAATGAATCCTCAAATTAGTGGTAACGAAAATCCCAACAGTTTCCTAATATATGTGGACAGAATTTGATATTCACTACTTTCAAGTCTAAAATGTCAAACTTTAACCTGATTATGGAGTATTTTAAAATACATTTTGTATATTGTGAAATGTGTATTCTATTTGTAAAGCTACATAAATTGAGGGGGAGGGGCGGCCTCCTCCTGAGGTTCTGAGTTCAAGCCCAACTCCCACAGACTTCCACTCTGGGCCCCTGAGCGAGACTCTTAACCCCCACACTGCTCCCTGGGCGCCCCACAATAGCAGCCCACTGCTTAACAAGGGGATGAGTTAAATATAGAGGTACATTTCTCCAATGTGAGATTAATAAAGTTCAATAATTATTAATTAAATACAGCAATCTCCTTAAAAACAGAAATAAAAAACTATAGTTATAGGAACTAGTGTCTATTGATACCAGTAACATGGCTCATTATTAGATTTGTTTAGTATTCTCACATTTCTGTTTGTGTAGAGTCTCATAGAACATGAATTGTAGCCCACCAAATATTTAATTCATGGATTTCTTCATGCTTATGAGATTTTACGTGATATTATTTGTACTACTAAAGTGCAGCTCTACGAGAGATACTCCTTTTTCTTTAGTGCTAATAACGATGGCCTTAGGCTTCTTTTGCCTGACTGGCGGATTCAGGTGAAACGTGGATTAATGTGGTTTTCTCATGCAATGAGATCATGCCGCTGGGTTCTTTTGTACTGTTCTGCAGCTGGAAAAGGAGACCGCTGAGGTCACACGTGCACTGAACTGGCGGTCAAAAATGAGAACAAACGTTGCTTACCTCCAGCTTTTATTTGAAATAGTTTGACAAAAAGGTTTGTGTCATGGCTAAAGAAAGATACCCAAATATGAAATTGGCTCGAGAAGTGGAAAAAGGATTTTGGTGTTCCTTTCTATGCTCCCTTACTCCTCCTCCTCCTACTCTTTCTAATTCATGTGTATGATTGTGCTGAGGGTGGAAGCGTTGGCAGCTTAGTGTCCTGAAAAAGCACCAGTCCAGTTATAAATGCCTTTTTTTCCCCCAGTCTTTCCCTTCTCATCTCCAGTCTGTTCCACTTTTCTCTCGTTTTTTCTCCCCCACCAGTGAACGGGACGCCGGCCAGTCAGCTGTCCACTCCACATTCGGGAAAGTCTCCCAGCCCCTCCCCGACCAGCCCGGGCAGCCTCAGCCGACGCCGGGTAAGACTCAGTTACACAGGGACACACACCCACACACATAACCTTTCCACACACAATCAGCCCGTAGAGCGTAGAGACTTTTAAGTCTGTAACACACTCCTTCTATGTTCTCAGGAAAAGGACAAAGCTGTGGCTGAGAATAGGCCAACTACATCTTAGAGTCACTTGAAAAGGAAGAAACCTGCACATCCCAACACCTTTAGCATCTAAGATCAGGGTGGGGAGTAGAGCTTTGATCTCATCCAGTGCTGCTTTGGGAAGCTCTGAAGGCTTACGTTTGGACATATGTTAATAGCTGAAAAAACTCATCCAATGCATTTGCACATATGCTGAGGCATTGCTCTTTGTTCATCATGCTGAATGCTATGCAAGTGTTAGTGCTGCTTCTCATGGCGCCAACACTCGCTTTTAGTTATCTATGGATTTATGAGTCAGCATTTTGTACAGTATTTTGTATATATATACCTGTGCAAATGGTTTAGAAAGGTTTTTACTAGTTATAGTTTGTACAAATTTGTTTTATTAACGGGGAAATGAGGTATGATAGCATAGCAACCACAGTGCAACTTTAGGGGTATAATGCAGAGAAAGAACATGCAACTCTATTGGAAACTATTTATTTAAACATGCTTCTGATTTGATGGGCTAGATTTTGCAAACTTAAACTTATAATCTGTATGTGCATGTGTTGAATGAATGACTGCTCTGGTCTTACAATGAAGCTCCTATTGTTTTCTTCAATAGCAATCTACAGTTGCTTATTTATTTATTGCACATTTTCCCCCTTTATTTTTGTTTAAATCGTCTCCTTAACACGTCACAATTTAATACAGCTTTTAGGACTGTGAATAAATAGAACAAGAAGCGAGGATAGAGCGGCTGTAGGCCTAAAAGTTATTTTATAACATTTTTGAAAAAGTTCCAGATGAATTATGTATCTGTGTTTGTTGCTCTGTCAAGAGATCTGATGATATATAAGAAATATGTTTCATCATAGCATATTGGTCATACTGCAAAGGCTTGCTTTATCTCCAAGGCATTTATTCTTAACAACATTTATATTTACAGTTTTTTCATTTTTTATTTTTAAGCCATCATAGACAGAGACAAGTGGGTCAGCAGTGTATTCTCCAGCCTGCAAACTGGCGATAATCTTCAGGTTTCTTAGCTGCGTAGTTAATAGAAAGAAGAAGCAAAGACTAAGTAATTTTTCCCCATTAATTTGACACTTTCTTATTTTAGACTCCTAAATTATCCTAAAGTTGAATCACATAAGGATTCATTTATCCTACTTTATTTTCTTGTTGTGTGAGTTTCATTTGTCTTTTTCTGCGATGTGTTCAGGGCCCTCTTCAGAATAGGAGATTTTTCAGTTACTACTGGAACAAATATCTGGTCTGCAAGTCAGTGATTTTTTAGTAAAAAGGACATTTGTTCTCAACACAACTAAAGTAATTTGCTGTTGAATATTAATCATTTTTCGAAACATATATAATTTAGGTATTTAGCTTTGATTCTGCCTTTTACTCTGAATGTTACATCTTTGTTCTGCCGTTTTTTGAAAAACACTGACAGTAAAATAAGAGGATAGTAGCTGGTTAATGAGAGAGGTTACCTGCTCGGCTTGTAGCTTGCCAGCTGCAGCTAATGGTACAAAAGCTTTCTTCCTGTAATGGGAGCAATAAGTGGTCCTCCATGCCCTGACACAAACTGACGAATATTATTCTATTTTCATTTAATAAACCAAGGTATCATAATTAATTGGATCACCTTGACATCTTAAAATGCTTTTAAAAAACAAAGTAAAAAAAAAAATCCTAATTGTAGTTATTTCACATAAACTGTTTATATAGTCATAGATTTGCACTTACAGAGATTCCTATGCATGCGTACGGAGAATCAAGCCCAATAAAAGCTTCATAGGTTCAGATTTAGGCAATATCTGATTAGTGATTTGACGAAATGAGTTGGATCTGTCAGAGTTACAGTTAGAGGTAAGCCGGGTCTGCAGGAACCAATCAGATTTGGGTTGCAGCTTCTGAGAACTGAACAGCAGAGCTCATGCATTCAGTTTGAAAATGGGTCAATATAAAAGGAGCATGCTGGCACGTGCATAGATTATATTTACATACATTACCAAACTCACTGAAAGAATAAACGACGGGAGCTCCTATTTTAGACAACTGCAGACTCTTTTGTTTCCTATCAGCTAATTCATTTCAAATTGCAGTAAGTATGTTGTGAGAGCAGTCCAGTTGTCACAGAACCATTTTTTCATGTTTTCAGAGATTTTAGGATGTACATTTTAAGTGTTTTTCAGACAGATATTTTACAAGGAACTCCAGGTTTTTAAAGGATCTTTTCTTAACTGTAAACAGTACAAAATATTGTTTAAGTCACAAGCCAAGAGCCTAATTCGTATAGAGAGATTATTCTACACTTCCTATTGCTTTATAATGAGACTAGAAAAAGGAGCCTTTTTCCGCCCATTATTTCCCCTCTCCACTCTGCAGCTTCACACTCCTCAGGAATATTGTTATAATTCTCTTCCATATGTCTTACTTTATTGAGCACCCTGGTAGATATGCCTTCTCTCCCCTGTAACAGTTCCAGTTGCAGCCATTTTAGGCACCTTTCCTGGACTCATTTGAAAGGGTGATACTCTATTCAATCATTTCACCTAAGGGATTTATCCACAGGAACAATTAATTATTTGAATTTCACAATATTTACAGTTAATTCACAAACGACACAGAAGTAGCAGATTTCTGGAACATTTCCACAATTGTCTGGGTAAACTTCCCAGGGCAGTTTCTGTATCTCGCTAGAGGTTTTTACAGCCCACTTAATACCAGTATTCACTCCGGGTAGGGTTTCCTTAGCAGTTTTTTTTTACTTTTGAAGAGGATGTTGTTCAGTTTCTGCCAAATAGATTAAAAAAATCGGCCAATCCTTGCAGATGAGCAAGCTAGAAAAAAATTATAACGTTATACAAAGACTTCCAGATGCAACCAGTTCTTTTTTGTCTTCTTCTTCACATCAGCATTTCACCTATTAGAATCTGTAGACAGAATGAATTAGGTTGCACACACTGCTTTGTTTATTACACCCTATTTTCACCAAGCTGAATAAATGGACACAGTGGCTTTTATCCTTTTAATCATCATGCAAAGAAAAGTGTAGTTACACAGATACATAAATATTTAACCTCAAGGAAACTGTGTGCCTGTTCCGACTTCAGAAGATTTTTTCTTTTTTTTCTTTCTTTTTTTTCTGCATTAAAGTGTCATTTATGCTCTGGTGGCAGACAAGCATGATACTCTAGCTGTCTCATTT